CTTTCGGGTAGAGTGGACGTACGTTGGCCGAAATGGAGAACGATCATTTCGATACTGATCTATTTATTGATGAAATCTAAAAGAGACCGGCCATCGTCAAATGATTTTATAGATATTCTAAAAGAATTAAAAAATTTGGGTTCATATTATCTTAGTTTTGGATACAACGTCAGAAACATTCCATGCGTCAGTCTATCTCGTAATATTGGGTGCACCCAAAATTCTCTTTGCCTCTGCCATCGTCTTTTATAGCGACGATGGAGGAGGCACACACAAGCAATTACTTTCACGTCCATTTCCAAACTGAGCCAGTACTAACGCTCCAATGAACGGTCGTCGAACGCCGAGCTAACGCGCGTTTAACGCAACGCAAAACGCCTAATGTGTACAGTACAAGCCGTAAGGTGGCAGCCTACCGCTCTGGGGAACTGGGTTCGAATCCGAGTACTGTATCTCATTTCTTGGATCTGAGCGCAAAAACATAACTCATGATATGGGATTGTGAATTGAATGATATGAAAAATTACGATTATATAATCTAAGTAGGGTTTTAATATTTTTACAAAATAATACTTTTTTACTTTTTCTTAATGAAATATTTACTATTTGACAATATAATTATTTGATTAAAAGTGTGACATTTTTATCACCCGGCTAATCCTTTCCTGAAAAGCGGGACACGAAAACTCAAAAATCGAAATTTTTCAGCTAAAATTACGAATTTTGATACCAATTAGTTGATGCTATTAAATTTTAGTGATTAAAGATCGAGGAGTGGAGAAACAAAGGGAGTCGTATGTCATATCTCGAGTGGGATCGGATTTAATGGCGATTTTACTCGTTATTATCATTTACAATTCTTTATAAAACTCATCTCTGTCCTCAAAATGGCAAAAGCTTTTTGCTATTTTATAATAATTAAAAAAATAAAAAGTTTTTAATAATAAAATATCATAACAGATGGAGCCAAAAACAGTTTTAAGTGTTGCTGAGAAAGACTGCTATCCACTATTCATTCCACTACTCTTTTACACCCCTTTCATACTATACGCAGAAATAGAACTAGTATAATCCACAAATAAAATTAATATTTTAAAAGAATTTATTTTGTAATATGATCCTAAATATATGTAATTAAAATTCAAATTTTGGAACAAAGATTTTAAATGAATAGAATACTTTCTAAAATTTGAATTTTAGAATTTTTACCCCATACATTTTACCTTATACTGGTAGGTTAACAATCAATATGTAAATGAGTTATGTAAAGTATTAATATTTTTTTTTGATTTATTTATTTATGAAAATACTTATTAATATTTTCTTCTCAGCTTTTGATAATAGAACTAAAATATATTTTTTAAAATATTTTTCATAAATTCATAACAATTAATATAAAATAAATATGTTTGTATTTAAGCAACTAAAGAATTTTTATGAATTTATCAAAAATGTTTTTAATAAATTTCTAAAAATTTATTTGATAATATATATAATATATTATCAAATATATATATAAAACACCACACCTTTGTGTTTATATATATATATATATATATATATATTGTATATGTGTGTGCATTGTGGAAATTTTATAGATTGTATTATGTAAATGTGAATGTTGACAAGATTTGTTCCAATTGGATAACAAATGACCTATACTGCCACTTGTTCATACTATCTGTAGAGNATTTCTCAATGGTTTTGATCCTTTTAAAAAATATATTAAAATATACGTATTATAATCTGTAACACTACTAAACTAGAGCCTTCCGGTGCACCATTTGAGCGAAAAAAAATTGTTAAGGAAAAATTCTTTGTTAGCGAACCCTTTGTTAAATATTTCAAATATCACCACTGAATATATATAAATAGACACTAACACACACATACGTGTGTGTTAGTGTCTATTTCATTTAATATTTCAGGATGAGGTAGCTTATGTATAAGGAATATTGATACTACTAGATTTTGGTGGTGAAAGGTCAAGGAGATGGAGAGATAGAGAGTGGTCACATGTCATATTGTGAATGGAGTTGGACTTAATGAAGATTTTACTTGCTGTTATTATTTACAATTTTCTATATTTTCTATTAACAGTGGCATAGTGTAGTGGGGGTGGCAGGGGCGGCCCACCCAGGGCGGCACTTTTTAGAGGGTGGCAAAATTTCACAATAAATAATAATAATATCTTGTAAAAATTTGAACCAATCTAATGTATATTTGCGTCATGCCTACGATAGTGCTATTGTCCAGACAGTCTGGTAATCATCGTCACCGTCCAGGTGAACTAGTAATTTCTAGTTATTTCATCAGAGGATATCCTGTGCAATTTTTTTTTTTTTTTTGCTTGTATGATTCATTCATATTCATATACACCACCACTATCCAATAGAGCTATTTTAAAAGGTCGCTGCACTGGCATGGAATTTTTTATTGCTTCTTCTGTGACAAAACTGAATTTTAGTCTTTTAAATTGAGATTCCTAAATAAAGGGGGGCGAAATTTTCCTCCGCCCCGGGCGGCTGACACCCACGCTACGCCACTGTCTATTAAACTTATCTCTACCTTCAAGATTAAGCATTTTTCTATTTTATAATAATTAAAAATAGAAAGTATTTTTAAATAAAATGTCATAATAGATAATGCTACACACAATTTTAACTCTTGCCAGGAAAGTTATGTAACTTGTTGCTGGATATATATATATATATATTTTTTTTTTGGATGGAATATATATATATATATATACATTCCATCAAAAAATTCATCAAGTATGTCAGTTTTTTATGATATGATCATGTGTTTGAATTTTATATGTGATGATTATTAATGCAAAAAAACAACTCCAAGTTCTTTAAAAATATAACAATAAACTGCTTTACTAAATTCACATTTATAAGTTTCTTTTAATTATTTTCAGGCAATCAAGCCTGTCTGACAATGACTTGATGATGATAACCTCTGTCTGACAACAGGCTTGATTGTGCAAAAATACTTGAGAGAAACTTGTTATTAAAGAGAAACTCCAGTAAAGCAGTTTGTTTGTTTGTCATAATGATTCATTTATTAAACATTTGTTATTTGAGAAAAACAACAGAGATGAAGAGGAAGATATTAAACATAAGTCAAGACTAACAGCACAAAACCTTTCTCACTAATTTCTAGCCTTATTAACTGGAGAAATTAGTGAGAAAGGTTTTGTGCTGTTAATCTTAGAAATAGTTCTAGCTACATATGCATAGTAGAATAATAAGTCAAGACAATATAAAAATTGTTATCTAAATCAAGGGTTGCCAGATATTCTTTATTTCAAAGGGCAATCCTTTATTTTAGCTAAACTGTCAGTGTCCCTTATTGAAATAAAAAAGGATGCAACTTGTTCTTTATTTTAATTTTTCAATATCTGTGTTTTGTAATAGCAGTAGTGGATTTCATTAGAATAGTAGAAAAAGAAAGACACTGCTATTAATCAGAATCTGTAAGCAAGTATGGTTTAGGGACTCGATTAGTCATTTGAAATCATTTTATTAATTGTAATATCATTTTATATCATTTGATTATTTGAAACTTTCCAAAAACTATCCCAGAACATTAATTGATATTACTTGAAAATAATGAAATGATACTTTTTCTGGAGCATCATGGTTTATTCTTTATTCCTCCATTTTAATTGATGATGCAATTTAAAAATTATTTAAAATATTTAATGTATAATAAATTTACAGACTTTTTTAACTGACAAAAATGAATGTGACTTCAGCTGCAAGTTGCAATGCTCTAGGAATAATTAACCAGCAAGAAATAAAATTCTGCGGCCATTATGAATGGAATCCTGAATTAACAAACAGCTTATGTTATGGAACTTTCTTTCTGTTAATTGGATGTGAGTTGTATAATTATTATTCAAAATACACATTTATTTAAATTTTTAATATTATATATTTTAAATTTTCAGCATTGATTAAAGGCTGCCTTGGACGTTTTCCTTTTTTGCATATATTATCAATGCTTTTATTAAGTTCTATGTTTGGTTTTATTTTTAAATACATTTTTCTAACATATCATCTTTATAATATATGGAGAAAATTTATCACAGATAATTTTTATATGCCTATTATGATTTATAATTTGGCAATGACAATGAATTTACACATATTTATTCAATCATTACTTCCATGTGTCTTTTTATCCATTTTAGGATTTGGTATGTTTAATATTTGTATATTGAATTATTATTTTCAAGTATTTTAATTATATGAAGTGATTGATATTTATTTATTTTTACAGGTATAACATTTGTAACTGTGACTTTCTATTTTGAAATTGTTTTCATTGAAATTGGAAAAAGTTGGTTTATGTCTGTTTGGATGGGAATTACCTTGTCTCTTATGTCATCTAGAATATTAAGAAATGCTTTAAGACAAAATGGTAAAATTAAGTATTAAGTAAAAGCATTGTTTTTAATTAGAAATATTAACAAATATGACATGATTTTCTGGTCTGTTAGGAGTTGCAGATCATTTCATTATATTAATTGCTGGTGAAACACTGTTAAATACTGTCATATCATTTATTGCTTACAAATTAAAATTGGAAATTCAAGCAGATAATATAAATGGTAAATATTATTACTTATTACCTTTATTAATGGTTTTATGGTTAAATATAAAATTGTTTTACATAGTATTTAACATTCTTCAAATCGTCCTGGGCCATTTAATTTCTCCAATATTAGGATACATTATTGGTGTGGTGACTTTATATTTTATGAAATTTCTAGTTGAAGATAAATGCAAATCAGCTTTTCTTTTAATAATTTGCATATTTGGAAGTGCTATACTGACAAACTTTTTACCAGGCATTTCAAGTGCTTTATGCATATTTTCTCTTGCAATTTATATTAATTTAAATAGAAGTGGTATTGAACAAATATTACAAGAGGATTTACATGAGTAAGTTATATTCATTATTATTTTTTTTAATGTAAAAATGTAAATTAATTATTTATACTATTTAAATTACTTTGAATTAATTCAAGTAAATGTAAAAAATTAAAATTAAATAGATTTCATTTTCATAAAATACAAAGTAAAATATATTAATACTACTACAATATATGTTATTTTTATAAAATTTATAACAATTACATATAATATGGATGGCATAGAAATTCAGAAAATTTTATTTATTGGGCTGCAATTTGAAAAAATTGTAGACCTGTAAATTCTCATTCTCGTCCATCTGCTTGTATGTCTTTCCTTAATCTTGATAACAGAGTTAGATTGATGAAAGATGAGACCTGATATGGAAACCTTGGGAGCAGGAGACCCTGATTAACTATATAAGAACTTCCAATGCAAATTGGAAGTCATGTTATTTCAATTGAAAAATTTTTCCCTGAAAGGTGTTAGATAGATGACTGGCATGACTCTATTGTTAAAGGAAAAGTATGATATACTGTACAGGAGCAAGCCATTACTAATTTCAGATGGAGAGCATATATTTTAAATTAAATATGTTAAAAATATGATTAAAAATTGCAGCCTGGCATTGTGATGATGTCACAATAAATAATTGCTCATTTATCCTTATAAATTGCATGCATATAACATTATTTTTTTTTTCAGATTGTTAAACTCAATAAGTTTTATGGTGGAAACATTACTTTCAAGTTCTGTAGGATTTACAATATCAACATTACTTCTACATTGGAATTATATAAATTTTATTATTTTATTAGAGGCATTTCATTTATATATTATCATCATTATTGGAAGGTAATGTTTTGAATATAATTGATTTACTTTATAATTGTTTTATTATTTCCTATGTTAAAAATTCATTTTTTTGTGTATTACTGTACTCTATTTTTTTGTTTGTTTCAGTTTATTGATTTTGACTAGTGTCTAATCATTTTATAAATTTAATTTATGGCTATTATATTTTGTTACATTTGACTATTGTATATGTATATTTATATGTACAAAATAAACTTAGGTAGCCTGTGTCAAGAATCAGCGATATCTTTTCATTCATTATTTCATGTTCACCATTACAACAAACAAATTTTGGAAAATTACTACATTTTTTTATCACCCATCTATTGGAAGCAGAGATGTTTACCATTAAATACCTTCAATGATTGTCAATTCCACATGTAATTTAATTGTGAAACAATTAAATTAAGTATGGAACAATGTTTTGAACAATGTTTACATTCTTTTAAGAATATAAACATTGTTCAAAAAATGATTTTTTAGTATTATTTGTGTTATAATTCTGTTTAAATTAAGTGTGGAATTGACAATCATTGAAAGCATTAGATGATAAACTTCTCTGCTTCCAATAAATGGATGATTGTAATAACTGCCATCTGAAAGCTGTTTTAGCATGTAGGTTTGCTGTGGTGTCAATAACATTCTTGCTAAAAAAAAAGTAGTAATTTTCCAAAATTTGTTTGTTGTAATGGTGAACATGATATACTCAATTTAAAATCATTTTTTGAACAATGTTTATATTCTTAAAAGAATGTAAACATTGTTCAATACTTAATTTAATTGTTCCACAATTAAATTAAGTGTGGAATTGACAATTGTTGAAGGTATTGGATGGTAAACATCTCTGCTTCCAATAAATAGATGATAAAAAAAATGTAGTAATTTTCCAAAATTTGTTTGTTGTAATGGTGAACATGAAATGCTGAATGAAAAGATATCGCTGATTCTTGACACAGGCTACTTAAGCTTATTTTGTATATATAAATATACAATAGTCAAATATAATAAAATATAATAGTCATAAATTAAATTTAAATTAATATTATTTGTGATTATTTTGTAAATTTGTTATATAATCAAGTTAAATTTAATTTGATTTAAATAACAAATTCATAATCAAGTTTATATCATCATCAGCTGGCTTTATTTCCTTTAATTATTTTTGTTAATCTATTAATAAACAAATATATATTAGTATATTTAAATTTGCTTATTGATGTTTAGTTATTAAAATATTTACATTAAAAATGCTTAAAACTAAAATAAGTACAATTATTTTTAAATATTTATATAAATTATATAGCAATGATTAAGTGTAAATACTAATATTAAAGTTTTATATTTATAGATTGATTTTAATTTTAATATTAAGTCCCATACTCATGAAATTTGGATATGATTTAAATTGGCAGGATTGTGTCCTCCTTATTTGGGGTCCTGTCAGGGGTGAAAAATGTCTATCTATTATACATGGATTATCATCTGATGATAATTATTATCATAACTCTAATCGATATATTATGAATGATTTTTCAAATGAATATGATGAGGTAAAGAACTAACTTTTGTATATTTTGATTTTGATTTTTTAAAATACATTTTTACTTTACTGGCTGTTATGTATACATAAGAATGGAAAGTAATGGAATTGTATCAAATTTGACTCTCTGAGTTTTTTGCAAATCTACACATTTTGAAATCTCCTGAATCCAAAAAACTAAAAAAAAATTCACAAAAAATTTTGTGGCTGTGTCTATCTATTTCACTTAATATTTCAGGGTGGTATAAACATTAAGAAATGAAATTTAGCATGGTGGCTTGTATGTGAGGGCATTGATTCTATTAAATTTTGGTGGTTAAAGGTCCAGGGATTGCAGAGATAGCGGGGGGTCATATGTCATATCTCAAGAGTGGTAGGACTTAATGAAGATTTTATTTGTTACTAAGATTTATAGTCTATCCTTACCTTCATAATTAAGCTTTTTGCCATTTTTATAGTAATTAAAAATATAAAAATTGATAACAGATGGCACCATACACAATTTTATTTATTTTGCTTAATAATATAAAAGTTCATGTTTTTAAAATCAAAACTCATAACAGCCAGGAAAGTTATGCAACTCATTGCTGGATTTTTTCATTTAGATTTTGAAACTTTTTGTCTAAAGCTTGAAACTTAAGGGATATCATGTTTTCTCTAATTTTACTGTAAATACTGTGTGATTATAATCTTAAAATTTTACTGTGTAAGATTTGTTGAGCAATTTCATTTTGTTACTTTTTTTATCAATAAAAACTTTCTTTGTAACTTTATTTATTTTAAAACTACTAAAAAAAACCTATAATCCAGCAGTTTTTTAATAAGTGCTAGTGTTTTCACCCATGTTGAATGGGCATCATCAGGCAAATTAATTCCCCAGCTGCTGAAACAACAGGGATTGCCATATATTCAGGACTTGATAAACACCACCATAACATTTTAGAACTGGCTGATCTACTTTGTCATATTTCTTTCTTCTCCTTTGAAGGTGACACATTTGTACAAAGTAGAGGTGTCTCTATGGGCAGTCCCCTATCAGGCACTTTGTGCAAACTAGTTACTCAGCAGCTTGAGATCACTGAACTTCCTGCCTTCACCAACCACATTCTCACATTGGACTATAGCCTAAATGATCAACCAATAAATGCTAATTACCCTGTTAAGAAGATTGTACTAAATTGCTTACAAGACTCAAAATATTTTTGCAGATTGGATCTATTCAAAGTTTACCTTCACATGTNCAAATACTTTTGTGTTGAAGCTGATATATATATATATTGTATATGTGTTGTGTGTATTTTAAAAAATGTATCTGATTTTTTAAAACCTTTATTTTAAACAGAGTTATTTTAATTGCATTATTTTTTAATTTCAATAACTTGTGTTCCAAAAGGTTATTGTTCTGTACATTTTTGCAATTTTTGAAAATCTGTGAAATGTTTTTGCTCTTTTTATTATCTATCTTTGTATATTTGTATTGTCTTTATATCTATCATTTTAAAATGTGTTTTTCTTAATTTGGTCTTTTACTTTCCCAGCTGTTATGTATACATAACAAGGAAAAGTATTGGAATTGTGTCAAATTTGACCTAGTTTTTTTACAAATTTCTATATTTTGATACCTCCTGAACCAAAAAAGTAAAAAAAAAACAACAAAACAAAAAATTCCATGAATATATATGTATATGTAATGACATATATATAAATGATACATGAATATATACAGTGGTGATATTCAGCGGGTTCGCGCAGGTTCGGCCGAACCCGTTGTTAACATTTTCAAAGTTTTCCCAACCTTGTTAAACACATGTAACATTTTTCAATGGTTTTGATCCTTTTAAAAAATATATTAAAATATACGTATTATAATCTGTAACACTACTAAACTAGAGCCTTCCGGTGCACCATTTGAGCGAAAAAAAATTGTTAAGGAAAAATTCTTTGTTAGCGAACCCTTTGTTAAATATTTCAAATATCACCACTGAATATATATAAATAGACACTAACACACACATACGTGTGTGTTAGTGTCTATTTCATTTAATATTTCAGGATGAGGTAGCTTATGTATAAGGAATATTGATACTACTAGATTTTGGTGGTGAAAGGTCAAGGAGATGGAGAGATAGAGAGTGGTCACATGTCATATTGTGAATGGAGTTGGACTTAATGAAGATTTTTCTTGCTGTTATTATTTACAATTTTCTATATTTTCTATTAACAGTGGCATAGTGTAGTGGGGGTGGCAGGGGCGGCCCACCCAGGGCGGCACTTTTTAGAGGGTGGCAAAATTTCACAATAAATAATAATAATATCTTGTAAAAATTTGAACCAATCTAATGTATATTTGCGTCATGCCTACGATAGTGCTATTGTCCAGACAGTCTGGTAATCATCGTCACCGTCCAGGTGAACTAGTAATTTCTAGTTATTTCATCAGAGGATATCCTGTGCAATTTTTTTTTTTTTTTTGCTTGTATGATTCATTCATATTCATATACACCACCACTATCCAATAGAGCTATTTTAAAAGGTCGCTGCACTGGCATGGAATTTTTTATTGCTTCTTCTGTGACAAAACTGAATTTTAGTCTTTTAAATTGAGATTCCTAAATAAAGGGGGGCGAAATTTTCCTCCGCCCCGGGCGGCTGACACCCACGCTACGCCACTNTATATAGCAATGATTAAGTGTAAATACTAATATTAAAGTTTTATATTTATAGATTGATTTTAATTTTAATATTAAGTCCCATACTCATGAAATTTGGATATGATTTAAATTGGCAGGATTGTGTCCTCCTTATTTGGGGTCCTGTCAGGGGTGAAAAATGTCTATCTATTATACATGGATTATCATCTGATGATAATTATTATCATAACTCTAATCGATATATTATGAATGATTTTTCAAATGAATATGATGAGGTAAAGAACTAACTTTTGTATATTTTGATTTTGATTTTTTAAAATACATTTTTACTTTACTGGCTGTTATGTATACATAAGAATGGAAAGTAATGGAATTGTATCAAATTTGACTCTCTGAGTTTTTTGCAAATCTACACATTTTGAAATCTCCTGAATCCAAAAAACTAAAAAAAAATTCACAAAAAATTTTGTGGCTGTGTCTATCTATTTCACTTAATATTTCAGGGTGGTATAAACATTAAGAAATGAAATTTAGCATGGTGGCTTGTATGTGAGGGCATTGATTCTATTAAATTTTGGTGGTTAAAGGTCCAGGGATTGCAGAGATAGCGGGGGGTCATATGTCATATCTCAAGAGTGGTAGGACTTAATGAAGATTTTATTTGTTACTAAGATTTATAGTCTATCCTTACCTTCATAATTAAGCTTTTTGCCATTTTTATAGTAATTAAAAATATAAAAATTGATAACAGATGGCACCATACACAATTTTATTTATTTTGCTTAATAATATAAAAGTTCATGTTTTTAAAATCAAAACTCATAACAGCCAGGAAAGTTATGCAACTCATTGCTGGATTTTTTCATTTAGATTTTGAAACTTTTTGTCTAAAGCTTGAAACTTAAGGGATATCATGTTTTCTCTAATTTTACTGTAAATACTGTGTGATTATAATCTTAAAATTTTACTGTGTAAGATTTGTTGAGCAATTTCATTTTGTTACTTTTTTTATCAATAAAAACTTTCTTTGTAACTTTATTTATTTTAAAACTACTAAAAAAAACCTATAATCCAGCAGTTTTTTAATAAGTGCTAGTGTTTTCACCCATGTTGAATGGGCATCATCAGGCAAATTAATTCCCCAGCTGCTGAAACAACAGGGATTGCCATATATTCAGGACTTGATAAACACCACCATAACATTTTAGAACTGGCTGATCTACTTTGTCATATTTCTTTCTTCTCCTTTGAAGGTGACACATTTGTACAAAGTAGAGGTGTCTCTATGGGCAGTCCCCTATCAGGCACTTTGTGCAAACTAGTTACTCAGCAGCTTGAGATCACTGAACTTCCTGCCTTCACCAACCACATTCTCACATTGGACTACAGCCTAAATGATCAACCAATAAATGCTAATTACCCTGTTAAGAAGATTGTACTAAATTGCTTACAAGACTCAAAATATTTTTGCAGATTGGATCTATTCAAAGTTTACCTTCACATGTGTATTGACAAGGAAAGCAGTATTATACAGACCATATCAACTCACAGGGAATCTACCAGATGAATCAGCTGAGCTTTAGGATAAAAAACAGCACCAGCTGAATTTTCATGTATTATTAACCAAATTCTACAGTGTTTAACTAAAACGATAGCCTACTTTGATAATATCATTGTGCACAAAAAACAAAGGAAGAATGCCAGAGGAATATATTTTATTCCTAAACAGGTTGCAAAAATATGATTTCCATCTAAATGAAAAGAAGTGTGCCTATTTCAAAATGAAAATCGAATATCTGGGTCACATGGTCAAAAATAACAAGATATCTAAATCTCCATCAAAAGTTAGGGCTATTATAGATATGCCTGAACCAAACAATGTACCAGAACTACTATGCTCATGGAAATGGTGATTTACTATTCTCAATTCATACCTGATGTATCAACTGTCTCCTATACACTCTATAAGTTGTTGAGGAAAACAAGAAATTTGTGTGGTCAGCTGTGTGCCAAGCAGCATTTAACATGCTGAAAGTAAAATTGCTAGTGAATGTATGCTATTGCCATTCAACCCAAATATACCAGTCATGTTTGCCACTGATGCAAGACCCTTGGGAATAGCTGCAGTACTATCACATATTATTGACAAGGAAAAACAACAATTGCTTTTGCATCCTGTTCACTTTCATATATGGAAATGAACTACTCTCAATTAGATCAAGACTCTCATTGGAATAGATCACTTTTTCAATTACCTTTACAGCCAACATTTTACTCTTCATATTGACAATCAACCTCTAACTAGAATATTCCACTGGAACACAAAACAACTGAAGATAATATCTTTTCAATTATTACA